TCATGCTCTGCAGAACTTCCCTTTTCAGCTCAGGGCCTCTTCCTGTAGTGCTGGCTCAGATTACAAGCCTATAAAAAACGGATACACAGACACCGTGTATCCTTTCCTGAGACAAGGCAGTTTGCTGCAAAACAGAAGTTCTGCAGAGCATGAGAACAGATACATATTTAAAAGGAAGAGCAGCAAAGAGAAGGGAAACAACCATGGATTACAGTAAGGCGCACATTACACTATTGTTTTATGTTAAAAAATCTGAGGGTTTAATGTCACTTTAAGGATAGGTCCTTAGCTAGTAATACAGCTATTTGCAGGAGGTTCAAAGTTGGACACTTCTACTGAACCACACCTGGAATGCAGAGGAAAGTAAATAACCTCTGACATCAATCTTTTTCTTAGTAAGAGTGTATCTGGTATGTACTATATGCTAGGTGTGATATATTCTCCAAGTCTTGCTGACTCTAATTATTCTCTAATTCAGCCTTTCACATCCAGGGTTCCATGGCACACTGGGGTGCCTTCTGGCTTCCTCAGGGGTGCCTCGAAGTTTTGTGAAATGCTGAATTAGAGAATAATTAGAGTCAGCAAGACTTGGAGAATATATCACACCTAGCATATAGTACATACCAGATACACTGTTACTAAGAAAAAGATTGATGTCAGAGGTTAGTTTTGTGATGGTAGGAATTGGATGTGAATGGGGAACGCTGATGTAAAAGGAGGGGTTCTGAAAGGGGGCGCTGATATAAAGGGGGTTTCTGATGTGAGAGGGGGGTTTCTGGTGTAAAAGGGGCTTCTAAAGTGAAGGGGGGCTTCTGATATGAAGGGGGAGGGGACTTTTGATGTGAAGAGGAGCTTCTGATGTTAAAGGAGGGGACTTCTAACTGAAGGGGCAAACTGACGTAAATGTGGATTCTGAGGGGTTCTTATAGTGGGGCACTGATATAAAGGTGGTTTCTGATGTGAGAGGGGGGCTTCTGGTGTAAAAGGGGCTTCTAAAGTGAAGGGGGGCTTCTAATATGAAGGGGGGCTACTGATATAAAGGGGAACTCTGATGTAAAAGGAGGGGACTTCTAATGGAAAGGGGGGCTATCGATGTAAAGGGGGACTCTGGTGTAAAAGGAGGGGACTTCTAATATGAAGGCGGGCTACTGATGCAAAGGGGAACTGTGATGTAAAAGGAGGGGACTTCTAATGTGAAGGCGGGCTACTGATGCAAAGGGGAACTGTGATGTAAAAGGAGGGGACTTCTAATGTGAAGGCGGGCTACTGATGCAAAGGGGAACTGTGATGTAAAAGGAGGGGACTTCTAATGTGAAGGCGGGCTACTGATGCCAAGGGGGACTGTGGTGTCAAAGGAGGGGACTTCTAATGCGAAGGGGGTATACTGACTTAAAGGTGGACTCTGATGTGGAAGGGAGAATTCTGATGTAAAGGGGGGCTCCTGATTTGATGGGAGGATGTGGGCCGTGATATGGCAGATGTGTTTTAATCTAAAAAAAAAAGTAAGGCCATGCACTTGGGAGCTAAGAACATGCATGCTGAATACACCTCAGTAGGGGTTTCACTGAAAAAAAGGAGATGGAGAAGGATCATGGGGTCCTTATAGACCACAGACTATAGTATGCATTGCCAAGCTGCAGCTAATAAGGCTAGTGGTATATTATCTTGCATCAATAGAGGGACTTATTCAAGGGATAGACATATAATTTTGCCACTTTACAAAACACTGGTAAGGCCCCATCTTGAGTATGCAGTTCAACTCTGGTCACCAATCCTTTGGAGGAATGTCCATGAGCTAGAAAAAGTACAGAAAAGGGCAACCAAGGGCAACTTAAAGTGACATTAAAGTCACCCTCCCCCCCCAACTTGCTACTTTAAGGAATTACTTTAAATGATGCCTCTCTATCTGATCATCTTCTACTATACAGTAATGTTCAGGAATCCCTCCAGTGCTGGTGCTGGTCTCTGATCCAGTGCTGACTGCTGTCTCTTCCTTTCCCATGGAGTCTGTGCAAGTGCATGCTGCTGCATTGACTTACCTTTTCTTTTGTCTCTCATCTTCTCCCGGCCGAAGATCTCTACTGCACATGTGCCCGCCCCATAATCCTTTGCAGCCGCCCCAGAATTCTCAGATCTTTGAACGGGAGCGCGTGGCACAGGTCAGTTCAAACCTGTTTGGTAACTTTTTTTTAATGTTTTTGCATATATCTACTGCTTGCTAGCAATATGCAAAAACATGCAAGGCTTTTTAACCTGTTAAGAGCTTACTTGATCGCAGTAAACAAACTCCCCAATGGGGATAGCAGTATTGGGAATGCACTACTTAGACCAAGTACCTCGAGGAGGACGCGAGGGCACAGCAAGAAGTTGGAGGGGATGAGGTATAATCGTAAACTGCTTAAGGGGTATTTTACTTTGAGAGTGGTAAACATGTGGAATTCACTTCCACAGATAGCCATATCAGCAGGAAACATAAACTGCTTCAAAAACACTTGGATGAGTTCCTCAAAACATACAGTGAAATGGAAATCCTAGCATCACATACACACACAACACATACACTACTCAACCTCACGTATTATATAACTATGATGCGTGGGATCCCCCCTTACATTTTAGACTGGGGTGCCTCAAGATTTTACATACTTTGTAAGGTAACATGACAGAAAAAAGGTTGGGAAACACTGCGCTAATTCATGCTGTCTCTAATTATGCGCTAATTCATGCTGTCTCTAATTATGCGCTAATTCATGCTGTCTCTAATTATTCTCTAATTCTTGCTGTCCCTAAATATTCTATAATTCTTGCTGTCTCCAATTATTCTCTACTCCTCGCTGTCTCTAATTATTCTGTAATCCTCGCTGTCTCTAATTATTCTCTAATCCGTGCTGTCTCTAATTATTCTCTAATACGTGCTGTCTCTAATTATTCTGTAATCCTTGCTGTCTCTAATTATTATCTAATCCTTGCTGTCTCTAATTATTCTGTAATCCTTGCTGTCTCTAATTATTCTCTAATTCTTGCTGTCTCTAATTATTCCCTAATTCTTGCTGTCTCTAATTATTCTCTAATTCTTGCTGTCTCTAATTATTCTGTAATCCTTGCTGTCGCTAATTATTCTCTAATTCTTGTTGTCTCTAATTATTTCCTAATTCTTGCTGTCTCTAATTATTTTCTAATTCTTGCTGTCTCTAATTATTGTCTAATTCTTGTTGTCTCTAAATATTTCCTAATTCGTGCTGTCTCTATTTATTCTCTAATCTATGCTGTCTCTATTTATTCTATAATTCTTGCTGTCTCTAATTATTCTCAAATTCTTGCCGTCTCTATTTATTCTCTAATCTATGCTGTCTCTAATTATTCTCTAATTTTTGCTGTCTCTAATTATTCCCTAATTTTTGCAGTCTCTATTTATTCTCTAATTCATGCTGTCTCTATTTATTCTCTAATTCATGCTGTCTCTAATTATTCTCTAATCCTTGCTGTCTCTAATTATTCCAAAATTCATGCTATTCTTGCTAACAAAATATTCAATTTTGAATTTTCTTTTTATCTGGGTACATTTCCTTCACCTATCCTTGTCCTGATACAACAGGAAGCGAGAGGAAATCTCTTCAAAGAGAGGCATTTAAAAGCAGTGGTGGTTAACTTAGTGAATATATAGAGGCCTCAAGTGCAGCTTTAGGGATGCATCAATGACAGCTGGGCCCACAGGAAGTGGGTTGGATGATGCTTGCCATCTTTTAACTTGGAAGACGAGCAGTGCTGGACCTTGGAGCGGTAAGTCTTTGGGGAACCTAACCAGGGATAAGGTGAGTATTGCAGTGATATCTGCTTTTTTATTGCTTTTAGAGGTGCAAGGCAGCATATTGAAAAAAAAAACAAATCCATATATAAAAATTGTGTCAGCTGCCACAACTGTATACACCTTATAGTATTTTAAAATTGTCCTTTGCCTTGTATTGGTTTTGTATATAAATTGGTGTATTTTGTTGTTATTATAGATAGTTAATAAATTAGTAAAATAAAAATCTCACTGAAAGGAGTCGAAAATGGCAACTTTTGAATTTTTTAACACTAGTCGCATCCCTGTGTTAATGTCTTTTTAAAATTGTTATAAAGTTGTTATTCAAACTTTTCTTTTTTTCCTTATTGTGTAACATGGCTCAAATAATAACATTATTCAAAATATCCGTTTTTTTAAATTTTCCTTTCCTTATTCTATTTTATAAACCTTTTTTGTTACAACTTCTTTTTTTCTCAACACTTAATTTTTTTTTTGTTTGTATACAAACCCATTCATTGTTCTCTGATGGTAAGTGAGTATAGTGATGAGTCACTTTTGTCCTTATTTTACCTGCTGACATTCACATGAATGCCTTTGTTTACCTTCCAGCCCATTCATAAATTTTGAATGGGTCTGAAGATAAACAAACCTATTTACACCAATGATCCCCAGAAGTTGCTGTCGTGTGGGGCAAGGAAAGAAGAGGAGCCATTTAACTAGGGGGGAACAGGGGCAGGAGAAACGGATTTACACTGGGAGGCTTGGAGAGGAGGAGTTTGATGGGGGAGAAGTGCCCAGGGTGGTGTGACTGGCAGGTACATGGTTGGAGGAGGGGTGGTTGGTGGCCAGATAGGTGGCCAGACACAACAACTTCAAAAAGGTGCGTTCAGTGGGATACGCAAACCTCAAATCCGTTAAACAGACGCAAGTGCCACTCTGTGCAGCGCTTCTGAACAAGCTCATGGCTTTGCTCTCACTTATATAGGAGTGCTGACAGTTGTTCCTGTATAGGTATAAACCACCATGTGCGCCAGACCTGCACTGAGGTCTGGAGAACAGTGGGCGCAAAAAAGCATACACTGGGGCCACCCAGTTTTTGCACTAGCCCAATTTGGACTTTGGATGTGTACTAACCTCATTTTTGTTTGTTGTATAAGACCTACTCTTGTAAATCTTCAGTTCTGTGTAATTTGTAAATGTATTGTCTTTGCAGCTCCTCAGGATGTTCCTTTGAGAGTACTTCGATCCCAGGTTTATGTGCATTTGAAACAGTTTCCGGAATCTTTGCGGGAAGCAGAAGTGATCTGTAATTTGCAGCCACAGGACCCAGATGTAAGTATATATCATATTTATAGTGATCCAAGAAGCTTAAAGCAGATCTTCAGCAGATCTTTATCTCTGGGGCTGTTTTCCTCCAGCAATGCCAGATCTTCAGCTTTTTCTGGACTCCGTGTCTTCTTTGTTCGGCCATTGGATGGCCACTGATGATTTAAAGGAGAACTATGAGATGAGTGATTTCCACTCACCTCATAGTTCTAAGCCGACCTGTGACAATGAGACTATCACAGGTCGGCTCAGTAGATCGGGAGGTGAGCGAACACATACCGGGTTCCCTCACCTCTCGATCCTGTCACGGCTCTCTGCCGTGACAGGGGGAGGGGTTGGATTCCCCTCTCCCCGCTCCGATCTGCCAGCGCTGACTGGCGGAACGGACGGGGGAGAGGGCGGGTACAGCTGGCTCTGCCTCTAGGTAGGCAGAGCCAGCTGTCACTCACGCAGCTGGGCGGATCCCGTCATCTAAGTCGGGATCCGCTCCAGGTGCGGCGTCTCAGTATACCGCGAGCTGTAGCTCGCGGTATACTGAGCTTAGGGTAACGGGAGGACGCTAGTTTGTGTCCTCCCGTTACCCTAAGGAGAACTATGGGGAAAAACACTGACCCCATAGTTCTCCTTTAACTCCCGTTCATGCACGCTGGAGTTACATTATCCCACCACCTGGCTTCATTTTCAGCATCTTACAGATGCCAAAAATGGGCCTGGACTGTACACTGCACTGTGCATGCACCACATTGTACAATTAGCAAACATTTCGTAGCTCACAGGTAAAAGAGTAACAAAAAACAAAATAAGAATGTATGTACTTTGGAAAAATAATACAACAAAATATATAAAAACTATACATTACATTCCCTTTAGGAATGCTTAATATTAGAACATGAAGAACAAAGAACCAGGACAAGTTACCAATACAGAACAGAACAAATAACATAATAAATGAATACCAGTCTATTGGTTAGTGCAAAGAAATCAAATACCTACAATTCAACTTGAAAAATATTTCAAAGAGTATACCGTAGATAATTTATATGATGTATATGATGGGATGTAACGGTGCACAGAGAAAATACTAAAATGTATTAAAAATATTATGTTATTATTTAATAATTAATTAATATTAATTTAGGACCAGGATTGTCATTCCTTCATAACAGATTAATATATACCTGTATATATTTTCTTGTAGTTACTGGATTTGTGAACTCCTTTATTTTAAAGGAAGCACATATATGCCAACTACAATACCTCTATTTTGTTCATTATTTTTTTAGATGTTTAGGTGATTTATGTGCAGTTGCATGTATGGGATCTCATGGCTTCTAGTAAATATTGTACATTTTTAAATAGAATTGAAAAATATAATTTATACTATTTTCTCTATACACCTTTACATCCCAGATTTCATATACATGATCTCTACTGTTTGATATATTTTTGTAGTATGATAAAAAAACATAATCATCTGTGTTATATTGTCTCATATACAATTATTTCAGCTGGTTGAGATTATACTCAAATATAGTATAAAGAAAAGTATTCCATTAATTAAAGTTTGGGTACTAGAAGTAGATAATTAGAGACACATTCCTCCTTCCCTAATTTTGTGCACGTCCAGCTCACAGATCCGTAGTTACTGACACCTCTGAGTTATTTGTAGCTGGGAGCCAGGCTTCAAAGTCTCTGTACAAGTCATCTTTTGGCAGTGCTTCCCTCTCTGAGGCTGAACATCAAATTGCTATCTCGGCCTGTTGACCTCATTATTGAATGATTAGTAGGTCTGGGACCTTGCAAGACCTCAAGCAGCTCTGCTTTGTGAACGAAACTATCTCTGAATTATTATAAAGTGCTAATGAATGGATAGATGTTACCAAGCTGTAGAGTTCTGCTATAGATGCATGTATCTGCCCTGACAACTCTTCGAACTTTATGACAGATGGTGAACTGACAGGGTCAGACTGCTCTACTTTAGTTATAAACCGGGTGCATTTTTCCACGCAGTTAGTATCACTGCAAAACATTTTTAGTGAATATACCTAAAGCAACAATATAGCACCTTTCACTGCCTGGAAAGAATGGTGCTCTGATATTGAGAGACTTCCCTGGGTTAGATGGTTGAGCACTTGGCCCAGCCTTCTGAGCCTCACCATTTGCTCATTGCTATGATGGACAACACTGAGACTTAATGATCAAAACACAGTGTATAGAAGAGTGCAACTCGATGAAATAGATGGATGCAGTACAGCCTGCTATAACTAGCTGAATAATTAAGATTACAGTAGTAGATGAGTGACTTACGATTACGATGTCATCACTGGGCATCAGCAATATCTGTAGTCACGTGAGGGTGACGGTACTGGTCCGTATGCTTTCGGTCTGGAGTATCCGGGTTATCGCCAGGGTTTCCGCTCAAAGGCTTGACAAAGAGGGTTACTGTCAGGGTACCATGCACAGGCGTCCTCACACCACATGCAGGTACCCACGCAGGATGACCAAATTAATATGCCCACACAGGATAGGGTTCTATGCACACAGTTTATTTGCTACACAACAACAAAACTACAAACCCTCCTCAACCCCCCACAGGTTTAGCAGTGAGTGATCGGGTAACAAGCCGGGTCGGTGACAGGTCTGCAGATAGGAAGCAGGGTTCAGGAAGCAGGGTTCAGGTTTATGGGAATCAGTCAAGTGCAGGCGACGCAATACTGAGCCAGCTTCCTGACTGCAGGTAGGGCCTAAATACCCTCCCAGGAAGCACCAGGTGATGGGATGATCAGTCACAGCTGGGGCACACCCGCAGGTGAGTACTGGAGCTGCAGGTTCCTTACAGTCCCTGGCTGCGGGAGACACCAGCAGGCGAGCACAGGAACTGCAGGACCTGGCTCCAGCACCACCTGGGGGTGCTCTGGATCCTGACAGTACCCCCCTCTCAAGGAGCGGACTCCGGACGCTCCCACAAAGTCCATAAGCATCCTCGAAGTCCAAGGGCACGGAAAGCCTGCAAGGCCGCCAAGTCCACCATATGCCCCAGGGCCAAAGTTCAGGGACCGGCTGAGCACTCCCCCGCCAGGGTCAGGCATCAGGCCGAGCAGTTCACCACCCAGATCCGGCAGAAGTCTCCATAGGTCAGCAGAAGACCCAACCAAAAGGCCATGGGTACCAGGGTTCCGTAGGGCGCACCCCCCAGCACCGAGGAGCCTTGGTTTCAGCGGGCAGACCACCGCAATGAAACATGGTGGGTCACTAGGACCGAAAGCACATTCAGTCAGCCACCTGGATACCCCCAAAGCTGTGGCCACCCGACCCAGGTCACCACATACTTTAGGGAACGCAGCGAGACCCTTTGGAAGCAAGGGGTGCTCAAATGGAACTCCCCCGTTCCCCGGGATATCACCACTACCAGGCCCGGGCTTGCGCACATGTTCACCCCACTTGCGGTAGATGTCCCGATCCCCACGGCACCAGAAGCAAAGAGCTGGGCAGTAGGCACCGGATCAGCGGAGGCGAAGAGCATGGGAACCGGCTGGACTGGAACGAACCCTGAGTATCTAAAACGGTCATCCACAGTCTCATCCTCAGAGCAGTCGCTCCAATCCTCATCATCCGAACAATCTGGCCATTCTTAGAGCTTTTCAGCTTCTGACCGATACTCGGCTAAGAGACATGAGGGGTCTTGCTGGGCTGCCTTGGGAACAGGTGTAACTGACTGGCAGACAGGTACTGTTGCTACGGAAAACTGGGAGCGGATTTGTTCATCAGGAATAACTAAAGTCTCAGCGGTTGTCATGGGCAACATCGCTAACCCTGATCGGGCTTTGGTAAAGGGGCTAGACTGCCTAAACCGTATGTCAGACCAACTCTGGAGCAAGGGTTTGGCAAGGGTCACTACAACGACTCCCCGGTCAATAAGGGTCTCAACCGCCTCAATATATTTCAACAAGTCCTCCGGTGGGCATTCAGAGTAGTGTGCAGAAAACCCGGCGGGATCATCCTCTAGGAACCACACCAGCGACATAACTTCCGACAGGGTAAACGAAGGGGAGAAATCATCACCCTCATCACCCCTCAGAGCTAGTTCGCTACAGATCTTGATTAAGGGTTGGATCTCCTCAAAAGGACAACCAGTCACATTCATAAAATCGTGGGCCCTGCGGATGTATTCTAACAGCTCTGCTCTGGGGAAGCCTTGAAACAACTGACGGCAGTGCTGCGGCTCCTCGGATGCCAGGAGCGCATAATAATATATTCCCTCGAGATCCATCTCAACAGTAGCAAGGGAAAAACAAAACAAAAAAAACCCAAAAGCCTGTAGGTCCCTGTGTGGTCAATTTGGTTGGTGGGGCTCAGTATTCTGTCAGGGTACCATGCACAGGCGTCCTCACACCACATGCAGGTACCCACGCAGAATGACCAAATTAATATGCCCACACCGGATAGGGTTCTATGCACACAGTTTATTTTCTACACAACAACAAAACTACAAACCCTCCTCAACCCCCCACAGGTTTAGCAGTGAGTGATCGGGTAACAAGCCGGGTCGGTGACAGGTCTGCAGATAGGAAGCAGGGTTCAGGAAGCAGGGTTTAGGAAGCAGGGTTCAGGTTTATGGGAATCAGTCAAGTGCAGACGACGCAATACTGAGCCAGCTTCCTGACTGCAGGTAGGGCCTAAATACCCTCCCAGGAAGCACCAGGTGATGGGATGATCAGTCACAGCTGGGGCACACCCGCAGGTGAGTACTGGAGCTGCAGGTTCCTTACAGTCCCTGGCTGCTGGAGACACCCGCAGGCGAGCACAGGAACTGCAGGACCTGGCTCCAGCACCACCTGGGGGTGCTCTGGATCCTGACAGTTACCCTCGAAACGCATAGCCGCTAATTTAAACTCACAGGGGTGTCCCACAGCACATCTCCCCTTGACTCACGAGCACCGACGGATATAGTGTGTCTGACCCTCCAGTGCTCGCGCCGCACACCGCACCGCTATACACTCTTCAGTGCGGCTAGTTTCTTTTCTCCCTCTGTTCCAACTGCCGCGGCTCGGCCTGGCCAGCCGATGACGCGGTTTTGTTGGGAAACCCTGGGGATAACCCGGACACTCCAGACCGATAGCATACAGACCAGTACCGGCACCCTCACGTGACTACAGATATTGCTGATGCCCAGTGATGACATCGTAATCGTAAGTCACTCATCTACTACTGTAATCTTAATTATTCAGCTAGTTATAGCAGGCTGTACTGCATCCGTCTATTTCATCGAGGTAGTTGCACTCTTCTATACACTGTGTTTTGATCAATATGGTACACAGGGCTCCTCTCCCGGCTTTTTGAAGAGTTTATGCACACCAGCTCCCACATAGCCAAAGAGTGAGAGATCTGACCACATCACAGTGGTGCGCTTCCATATTTTTGTTCCAACACTGAGACTTAGGCAGGGGGAGGCAAGGCCAGGTGCTCAGACCATTTGACACAGGACATCTCTACATGTCAGAGCATCCAAGTATACTGGACACTAAAGGTACTGGGAATGTCAATTTTGTGCATAGTCTATCAGTGTATTACAGTCAGGACTAATAAATAGACCTTTTTAAAAAAAGTAAATATATGTTGCACATAAATATTTCATATTCTTATATCGTCCTAGCAGGAGGCGCACTATGCACCTTTTATGTTTTTACCGGTCTATCCTTACCTGTGCCCTAACCTGTGCTTTGCTGAAAAAGTCTGTTTACAGAGCTCAGTAGCTAGAGCTAAGATTTACTGTACATAGAGAAGTTAGAGCAATGATTCATCTTCCTCCCTCCTCCTTGCCTGCCTGATAAGATGGCTCAGTGTAAAGTTTTAGTAAGAGAGAGGAAGCATGAAGGCAAGCTGTTTCTGCTGTGGTCACTTTAGAAAACCCTTAATGCCCTGGGAATTAAGTGCCGTGCACAGGGCCGGATTTACTCTCCCTGCTGCACCAAGGCCAGGTTCTGCAATGCGCCCCTCTCTTTATTGAACCTGTCACCTCCAATACAGGAGTTCTAGCACAGTACTGTGCTTGGACTCCTGTGACAGCTGAGAGAGGAAGAGCACAGCTCTCCCCTCTCACTGTATACACGGAGCAGCATGGTTAGTTTTAACCCTGCGGCCCTGCTCCCCACATCGGCGGTCAGTGAGGAGAGACTCGGCCGCCGGGGGGAGGACGGAACCAGAGGAGAGAGGTAGGTGCGGCGGGGTGGGGGGCAGGTAAGGGGAGGACGGACAGGCTGCACACATTTTACACGTGATCACGGCGACATCGCTGCACACCGCTGCCGCCCCTCTGCGCCTGGCCCCCCGAGGCCTGGGGGAATCCGGGCCTGGCCTTGCATCCACTCTGTATGTATTTATTTAACAGACAAATATTTTATATAAAAACATTAAGGGCTGATTTGTTGTGGGAATATACATATCATTTTGAATAGCACCATACCTCAATGCAACGCATGGCAATGCACCATTGTGCATTGTGGCAAACATTTTTGACATGTCCAATTTTTTTAAATGTCTTTGTGCATCAAAAGCCCACAGGTGAACTTTAGGTGGGCCTTACCTGTACTGCAGGAGCATTGTCACATTCCAGGCTATGTGATTTATTGTGAAGATAGCCCACCACTAGATTTTTACCAGGCTGGCAACATCGTGGAAGGACGTAGCCCTCGAAGGAGGTAAGTACTGATCTGCGGACCACATACATGGCTGTGTGTCTTGAAGGGGATAGGGAGGGGTGCTGGGGGAATTTATTTCTAAAGG